TGGTGTAAAGAACATGGCGTGAACAACAGACGACCTGACAAAGAATGACCAGAACACACCGACTAAATACACACAGGAGGATAATGAGGGAAATGGAAACACATGGGGAAACAGCTGACACACATGAACATAAGGACGTCACAAGAGGAGAGTAAAACTAAAAACATTGAACATAGGAACTACGGACCCCTTCAAAATAAAACAGGAAACATAATGAGACAGACATGACAACCTGAACTTGACAACGTAAGACACAGACATGAAACATATGAAGGGCAAGGGAGACTTAACAAGGGTTGGAAGACACAAGCGGAATCTAATAACAAATGAAATAGTAAAACTAATGAGTTTAACCATATACTATAAACATCAAATTAATCTAAAACTCAAAACACTGGGTCATAAGGGGGGGGGACTCTACCCCAGCTCTCATAGGGCAAAAGGCGAGGTACAATCCTGGGCAAGTCAGCAGTCTACTGCAGGACAAACAAGAAAACCAAGGAATCAAAGCCATCTTTTTATTATCTACAATTCCTTTACTTCTATAAACTGCAACAAGGTGTTCTTCTAATCCTTCAAGCAATGTTGTATGAGTGTAGAATTAATGAGTGAAGCAGGGGTAGTCAACTCCAGGCCTCGAGTGCTGGTGTCCTGCAGGTTTTAGATCCCACCCTAGGTCAACACACCTGAATCAAATGATTAGTTCATTACCAGGCCTCTGGAGAACTTCAAGAAATGCTGAGGAGTCATTTAGCCCTTTAAGTCAGCTGTGATGGATCATGGTCACATCTAAAACCTCCAGGACACCGGCCTGGAGTTGCCTACCCCTGGAGTAAAGCATTAACTAAGTGATCCTGCAGGGACAGGGTATACGCACATATTTTTGTTATGATAGATGCCGTTTTGTCCGATGAATATGAGTAGAAGATAGTAACAAAAAGAGGTGGAAAACAATTGCTATTTAAATCTAATTGAAAGAGGGCTTCACATTGACTAGGACAGTTCAATCTTGACCTTAGGTAGTTCGTTAGAAATAACAAAAGTTCTCTTATTGAGATATTTAGGCACCATAAGAAGCTGTTGGCACTTGCAAAATATGCTGCAAAACCCAATGTGGTTATGGCCCACTTCCTCTTTTTTTGATGATCATGCTTTTTACACTTAACATTTGATATCTGACACTCAGTAATCTTATTGGCTTTTCGCCACAGTCCAACCTCATGAAGCATACTTGAAATATATGAGAGACTTCAAAATTCAAAAGGGTTGATCTTTGAACGATCTACTGGTAATCTCTATTTCTGTTTAAGAAAATATTACAGAAAAAAACAAACAGAAAAAAATTGGAATTTGTGACAGAGAGTGGATAATTGATCAAAAAGTGGGCTTGGTTTTTGTTTTATCTCAGATGTCGTCTAAGCAGCTCCCGCCCCTTCATGTCATCACAGCTATACCCTCCTTGTCTTCTCCCTTCACATGCACACCAGTACTCACGTCTGCTGGTTTGTGTGTTATGCGGCTTCAGCTCTGCAGCTAAGAGGCAGGAAATCAGATATTTCAGTAGTTTGCCAAGAAAGAAGAGAAGGTGAGCTCTTATAACTTTATTTAACACAGTTAAAAATGTTCTCTTATATATGAGATTTAGCAATTTGGTTTAAGTGGCATTTTGCAAGTGTGAAATTGTTAGAAAAAAAATATGCTTTCTGCAATATTTCTAATCTAATGTGTAGAGAGTTGATCTACTGTTTCTGACTTAAAGTCTCTGTTTCCTGCAGTACATAAAAGAAGAGTGACTTCAAATAGTAGTTTTATTTTTTTTTTATTCCAATTCTGCCCAAAGGGTTCATGATCTTTTGTAACAATGTGTCAGGGCGCAAAAGTGACTCAAGGGGTTATTGCCACACGACGCTCCGCATGTCACCACAATGTTCATAAAATGTCTCTCAATAAGGATCTTTCTCAATATGTGCTTCCTTTGGCCTCATACATATGCAATTTTTATAGTCTTCACATGGCCGTGTCACAGATACAGTGGAAACAGTATAGCGTGGTATAATTGGAACAACGCCACACCTAATCTTATTTATATAATTTCTGAGTGTTTATCAGCTGCTCTTGAAATATATTGCTTCAGGAATATTTTGATTAAACCCTCTGTATTTCATCAGTCATGCTATTCCCCGCCAAAAAAAAAGAACAAAGAAATCCTCAATCTTAAGCCACTTTGTGCAAACATTTAAAGGCAGTTCTTTTCATTTATAACAGCATAATTTACTTCAATCTAATGTTTTTGCCTCAGCTTTCCACAAACCCTTTAATCTATTGATTGCATACAGGCGACGCACTTCACTGGAGATTGTTTAATTCAACTGTGACCTTCACCCGCTGATAAAACGACTAAATACAGTCTCCTCTGATTCCACAAGAGGGCACCAACATGGAGCTCCTGTACAGTGACGGCACAACAGCAGTCTGGAAATATTTTTTTTTAAAAAGGCAGCTAACAAAAACTACATAATTTTATAATGCAGAGTATCCACCCTAGGGGATAAACATTTATGTGATGTGCATAGATGTTCCTGACATGAATGGGAAAGCTAAATGTTTTAGTAGCTGAAATTTCACTATAACACTGAACATATGATGAAAAATTTGCTTATTTTTAACATAACAGGCACAAGGATAAAGCTCTGTGTATTTTTAAACTCAATTCAGCCTTCAGTAAAAATCAAAGTGTTTTATGGTTTGCTTGAAACCATGTTCTACCAGGCGACTATCTCTCCCGTAACATCATCAGCTGAAACTGTGATGATCGTCTGTTTGTTTTGGTCTCTAAATGACTTTCTCTCTTGACTCAGAGACGTTTATGTTCCCTTTAAGCTCCAGCTTCAATGTTGACAACAAGATAAAAAAGTAATCACGTTTTCTGGTTTGTTTGTTTCACCACAGGAAGTTACCTGTCCCGTCCAACCTAATGTGACATACGTCAAAGTGACGGAATCTTAACACATAAAGATGTGAATGAAAGATCAGATTCTGTAGAGACATCTGTGCTTCATAAATAACTTGTAACATTTGTTACAGCTTTTTTGTACTTCATTTCCTAATTATAGTAGCTGGAATGACGGACGGGGAGACAGCTACTTCTGCAGAGCATGGACACGCAGGTAATATCTTATCAACAATAGCTATGCAGCTTTCCATTAATGGTAAAATTCAGTTCTGTGTTATATAAAAAAAGGACATCTGTATGTACAGTTGACTGGTCAGCTAAGACTTGTCACGGTACTGATTGTGTTTTTCTCCCAGTTAACAAGTCCTGTGTGAATCTGACGTGCTACATGGTCCTGAGTAACGAAGAGAGGAAAGCCATTGGCACCATCTGTTTCCTGGCAGGCCCTGTCACACTACTGGAAAATGTTCTTGTGCTGGGGGTGATTGCTAGCACAGCCACCTTGCGAAAGCGGCCATCCTATCTGTTTATTGGCAGCCTTGCTCTGGCTGATGTCTTTGCCAGTTGTTTCTTCACCATAAGTTTCTTACACTTTCACCTCTTTCATCTCAAAGATGGCCCAGGCGCCTACCTCTTCAAGCTAGGCGGTGTCACCATGGCCTTCTCTGGTTCAGTGGGAAGTTTACTGCTGACTGCTCTGGACCGCTACCTCTGCATCTACCACTCCTCGACTTACAAGGTGTTGCTGACACGGCGCAGAGCCCTGCTGAGCCTTCTGATTCTCTGGAGTACAATCATCTTCCTCTCCTTCTTACCTCTAATGGGCTGGAGGTGTTCCACGGGCCTTACTCCACCTTGCTCAAACTTGTTTCCATACATCAATAAGCACTATCAAGCCTTCTGGACCAGCTTCGTCCTTGTGATTCTGGTTCTGATTTTGGGGGCTTATGCTCTCATCCTGTGGAAGGCCCACCGCCATGAGTCCTCAATGACCAGCTTCCATGGAGCAGCAGGAAAAGGTCAATCTCGCATGAGGATGGATATCCGGTTGGCTCGCACCTTTGGCCTGATTCTGCTCATACTGGTGGGCTGTTGGGTTCCTGTGCTTTCTTTCATGCTAGTAGATGTCTCAGTGATCCTGACCCGAGACCAACAGCGGGCCTTTGCTTTCTGCAGCACCCTCTGTCTGGTCAACTCTTCAGTCAACCCACTGCTGTATGCCCTGCGCTTTCGAGAACTAAGAATTGCTCTTTTGCGGGTGCTGCAAAAGCTGTGTTGCAAGGGAAGGTGTAAAAAACTCACAGAAGACTCAAGCCATGGACTACCCTCTGCAGAAGACAATTGTACTGCTTTATCTGACGATGAGACGCCCAAGGCCAGAACCACCAGACCTGACTCCATTTCAGAAATGGTCTACAGTCACCAGCTGACCATGAAAAAGTGAAGGAAGCTGAACGTTAAAATAAAAGAGAAGCAATACAGTTCGTGAAACACTTGTTTTGACGACAGCTGTTAGCTAGTGATCAACACCATCACTGTAGATCAGGATAAAATCTGTCTATACAAGGAAATGTCACTTACTGTTTTTTTTTTTATTGTAATTGCAAATAAGCTTGTAAATAAGTAAACAACACATGATAACAGTACTTGTCAAAACAAAACACAAACCCTGGGAATTACAATGTGACCATTACACATTACTTTAATTATAAGAGATTATAAAGTATGTTGTTAACCATTAATCCGTAATGTTATTACCAGTTAATATGCTTAAAATAGAAAATGATAGTTACACAGAGGACACACGGAGCTTTTTTCAGCATTTTGCAATAACTGCACCCAAAAGATTTAAATGGAAATAAATACCTCTGCACTCAATCAGACTAAGTAAATTGTTTTGTACAAATGTATGCTACTATGTGTTACTAATATTTAAGCACATATAAAGGTCATTTACCTTTGACCTCCATGTTTCTCCTCTCACTACTTTAGCATTCCATGAAATCCTGGTTCCGTGAACTGAACTGCTGACTTTTGGGTTTGCCATTTGTTGCTAGCATGATTCTTAATTTTTCAGTGTATGACCCAGAGCACGCAGGAAAAGAGGAAGCAGTGGGTCGCCGATCTGCACATGAATGCCAGGACCCCACAGAATTTCACACAATGCTCACTGCACAAATCCAAGCAGCGTGTAGAGGTGAATGGAGCAAATGTTAGGAAGAGAACGAGCACAGACACTAGAACAGTCTTTGCGATAGTAAAAGCTGGCAGCTGCAGTAGAGCGCACACTGATATGCAGTTACACTCGCAGTGACACTCAGCGTAACATAATCAGAGCTGCCGCTTGTTGATTTAAGGTCACAGGAAATTCTTTAGAACACCTATTTCATCCATTGTGTGAACTTATTAAAAATAACACTTGGTCTCGACTCTTTGTATCTTTTTTTAAAGCAAATTACACAAGTACATTTCTTTTATCTGATAAAGTGGGCCCATCTCTGTATCTGTCTTTAGGATGACTAAAGGGACGTTCTCTGCCACAGCAGACAATCTGTGAAATTAGCTAGCAGTAAGGCACATGACTGCGTTGGAGAAGAAATAGCAGCAGGTGGTGAACGGAACGAGTATGTGGCTTCATTTTTCTCACTACAGCAGCAAAAAGTAGGGCTACACAATTTCTGTAAAAATGATAATCTCGGTTACTTCAGGAAGTATTAGGATTGATTATTTCGTGTCATAATCTGACTTCTGAAACGCTGAGAAAAAAAATTGCCTGTTATTCTTCGCCTAACTGAAACCAAAGCGTTTATAAAGAGCCGAATCGGTTTTACAATTCTTGGTAATCAAAGTCTGCCTTCCTTTGATGTTACCTCAAGCTGAAGTAAACCTACCCCCACCACTAAGGGAGTGAGTTGTAGAGAAGCATGAAAACACACAGCTGTAAAGGAAAGACAAAATGAGAACTGCAAAAACAAAATGGTTATCTCTTGGTCATTTTCTTTTACATAATATAAGATGAGCTTTATTGTCACTCTAAGCAAAACTGAAACTGTTGGGAGCCATCAATTTAATCAAATTACAATTTTAATCCTTAGCAAAAATTAAATGTAAAGGATGAATATGTGTATACACTCGTTTTAAACTAACAGTCTAAAGTTATAGCCTTGCAATATATTAACAAATAAAGTTCTTTTATAAAGATTTGGTGGAAAGTGTTATACAATCAGGTGGTGTTTATAAAATACTTATATTGTTGAGGAAAATGCAATACAATGATTGGAAACGTGACAATAAACAAATGAAGAATACAACAGTGGAGGAAATGAATACATTTTTAAAGATTTACGTCATCATCATCTGCCTCCATCTCACCCTTTACTACATCCATGAACTTTCTCTGTGGTCTTTCTCTTTTTGTCTCCATGTTCAACAGCCTTTTCCAATACATATTCAGTATCTCTTCTCTGCACATATCCAAGCCATCTTGGCCTGGCCTCTCTAATGTTATACCTCTGATATACTAATTTCCAATACTGAAAGTCTTAGTATCTTCAACTCTGCTCGGCCTCCAGTCTTTTTGTTAGTGCCACCATCTCCAAACCACATATCATAGCAGGTCTCAGTATCATCTTGTAAACCTTTTAAACCTTTTCTTTCAGTCTTGCCAAAGTTACTACTGCAATCATGGACAGCTTACTTATTGCCGAGTCTGTGCTTGGTCACTGATGTGTTTTAAGAGATCAGATTGCAAACTATCTCTATGCGCAAATGTTTGAATGCAAGAGATAATAGATTAAATTTATAGATAGATAGTGTGTGTGTGTGTGTGACAATAAAGCTCAGTTGTTGTGAATTTATGATCTAAACTGTTACTTAACCTAATTATTAAACCTATTTAAACCTAACCTAAATATTAAATGTAAAATTTTCCATATGTCGGTAAAAAATTTGGGGTCCGTTTTTAAAATACCAAATTTACCTGAACTCTACGGCGAGACGTCTCGTGAACCTTGAATTTAAGTTCAAGGGAACGGAATCATCAACAACAACAACAGGGTAAGACAGCCGGAAAACGCAGCTTAGAAGCGCCGAATTAAAAAAGTGAAAACGACAAATTAATCTAGTTAGAATTAATCAAGACGTTACAAAAGCAATTCTGGATAAGAATTACATTTCAAATCTGCGAAAAAACACAGAAAGATTCGTTGTAAATATTTGAAGACCCCCCTATTTCCGGTAATGGTAGGCTCTGGCTTTGTGACGTTTTAAAAATTCAGCAGGCAGGGTCGGCAGTTGCTTTACTACTGAGAGAAGAAAATCCGTTGTTGTGGAGCGGAAGAAAGGCGAAGAAGAAAACCGAGGAACGTTAAACGTACATACGCACGAGCGTTTAAAGCCCAGCGTTTGCGGGTCGTTTTTCTTCCTGCTTATTATTTTCCGTTTTGTTTAGCTATAATGGCTTGTGGAGCTACGTTAAAGCGGTCGATGGAGTTTGAGGCCCTCCTCAGTCCCCAGTCTCCCAAGCGGAGAAGGTGCAATCCACTACCGGGGACTTCTAGCACTCCGTCCCCTCAAAGATGCAGCCTCCGTCCCGCCGTCGACAGCCCGGCGCATTCGACGTCTCCCCCGGTTACTGGCGGCGAACACAGGCTCACTCCAGGTATGGATTTAGACCAAATTTGACGGCTTTTTCTCCCTTTCAGGGTGGGTGTCATGGGGGAGGGGGTTTGGGTGGAGTGGAATGGATAGCTAGCTACTTGAATGGGGGTTGGAGGCTAAATGTTAGCTTACCTCAGCTAACGTCAGGAAAAGGGAATGTCGTCGCTGATTTACCAGAACAGATCTCGTTACCAACCATAATGAATCGGTAAAGGCACCGAAAAGTAGAAGCGACTCTGTAAGTATGGGGCTTGTGGCGTCACTGCAGCTCTCCGTTTTCGTCCTATTCTTTGCTGAGCTGGCTTACATTGGCTAAATTTGTTTTGTCCGTGAAAAAAAAATTAGATCCAGAGTTGTTCGCTTGGCTAATTCAAACAGTCTATGGCGATAGGGGAAGTTGAATAAACATGACGCCCTTTTACAAGCTTTGCTCAGACAATCTTCAGACGTGTTACCACGTTCAATTATTTAATATATTTCATTAAACTTTAATTCGTTCAACTAAAACTGGACTGAAAGGACTCAACAAATCTTTCTTCTTTAACCCCTGCTCGTTGGCTCTCCTGCAGACAAATGGCATCACAGCAGCAGCCACATCATTGCAGACTATTAATTAGGAGGTGCCTGGGTAATGTTCCTTAGTTTCAATGCCACAGTGCCACAATTGTGTTGTATTGAGGTGGGGGTTACTATTATGCACCACAACCATTTCTTTTCCTCCTCAGGCATGGAGGAAGGCATTGTTCATTTCCTTTATGCCTGTACTTCACTCTCCCATTGATTTGAAAATGCAGCTCCATCCACTGTGAGTCTTGGATGGGTGTGTGGGGTGCACAAATAGGCCCAGACTAATTGCTTGTGTATATCCACTGCATCAAGTGGCCTTAATGTATGTGCCAGTCAGTGATATTTGGCAGGATGGCAGCATGAGGCCTAATCAATCGGTTAATTCTGCCAAAAAAAAAAAAAGATTGCAAGATTAATTTAGCTCTCTAACTTGCAGAAAACCACACAATTATAAACCCCTAGATTTTTTGGATTTATACACAAATGTGACTCAGGTGGCAGATAAAGTGTTCTTTTTTGCCTATCATTTGGCAAATACTGAACCCCCAAAACTGCTCCCAATATGTAGAAATTCAAGGCTTTTACTCCTTATTGAACAGTTTGTGCTTTATAGCTAAAACCTCTCTAGTGAGTTCCAAAGTAAAATTACCAGAACTGAGAAAATCAAATTCACCAGGTCACTGTTGTTGACCCAGTTGTCTCCTCCATGAAGTAGTTTTAATTAAAAATAATAATAAAAAAAAAAGGCTTATTATTTTTACTTGAGTTATTAAGCAGCTGGAACACAATTTGACTTGATCATTACAGCCATTATTGCTGTTTCTTGCTGGGATTGTGTTACTTGACCTAACTACTGAGTGGGTGTGCATGTGTGTTTTCATTTTCTTTTCCTCCTTGGAACAGCAACATGGATGATGTTAAAACCGAGTGATATTCGAAAAAAGAAAAAGAAATATGCTATTAGTCAGGGTTGTATTCATCAGAACATTAAACCAACGCGACTCCCAGGTTGCACAGTATGCCTGCTGGGCTGCACGTTTGTGTAGTATTGTTTGAACACAACTCTTTGGAATTTAGCTTTCAGTTTTAATTTAAACACCCCAGGATTATGTCTCAGTCTGACCTAATAGAAAGTTTTGGAAATAAGTGAGCAAATACCTACATTTTGCTTCCTGATTGGCTTAATATGTATGACTTATAAGAGCTAAAGCTTAATATAGAACTTCTTCTTGTGTCTGCCTTTGGGTACTTTTCCTCCATTTGCTATCAGTTCCTCTTGGGTAGATACTGTAATATACTGAAATAATAATACTGAAATACTGAAAATATGTTAAAAGTTTATTTTATGACCCAGAAAGATTAATAAGAGTAATTTTAAAACTTAGTAGCGGCAGTCATTGCCGGAAACTGGAGTTTGGCTAGGCCGCGCTATGATTTCTGGGATATGGTGGGCCACGAAGGACATACCCAACCCATCTTTCAAATTCGGGGAAAAGGACGACGCATTTGTCGGCTGCATTCGGAGGGGTCTACGAATTTGGACAGCCTAATTGGTCTACAAATGCGTCCTCAAGAGGATGCAGCCCATGAATTTGGACACAGCTATAGAAAACCTATCTGGGTG